AATGAAAGGTTCAGTGTCTCTTGGTCAATCCTGCTGCTGATCCTGAGTCACCACTCATTTGTGGTGATTCTAAGCCTCACTTTATGATTCACATTCTAAACATGGGGTGAGGTTTTTAGTGAGAAACTAATTCCAGTGTGAAGTTAGCATCACAATTATTGGGTTCCTCTGTGGGTTTCCAGCTGCTAGCACAGCACTTCTCAAGTCCAGTGTCTTATGGCTTATTGGATGTGGCCATTCCAGGGCAGATGCCTACAATCATTTCACAGGGTTATGGTAGGGGGTTCCCTGTGATGAGTTTGTTTTACTACTCTTTCTTGGGACTACTCATTATATGTGACCAGCCCATGTCTGACCTGGGATAGACAAGCTAAAGAAGGGTAGAGAAATCCTCGTGGGCTCTTTCGTTTACACCTTCTGAGTCATGGACTTGGCTCTTCAGCCAGAATGGACACATAAAAAGGAGGTTTCAGAATCTGCCTTCTGGGGCCTATGACTGATCACTTGACACTACTCGGTATCTAGAATTGCTGTAATAATGACTGAAAAGGGAAATTACTAAAACCAGAATGTGTAAAAGACCAAAATGCGGTTACATGAACTCTGCATTCGAGGCCCAGACTTCCACTAATGAGCTACGTAACCCTGGGCCAGTCATTTAACAGCAGCTCTGATGGTGTGAGCTAACGTTTGGGTTTGTATGGAGCCTGGCACAGAGTAAGCCCTCTGTAAGGTCACCCACTATTACCATCATCCTTGTTATCGTGGGTTTACTACACCCAGTAGTAAGCACTTGGCATGCTTTATCTCATTTAATCCTTAGAATTATAAAATGAATTTTGTTACTCTTGCTGTACAAAAGTACATGGAGGCTTAGAGTGGTTGACATATGAGTCCAGTCCCGTAGAACATTTAAATCCTGATAGTCTAACTCCCGAGTCCATGCTCTTGATCTCTGTTGCTACCCTGGATTTCTTTGAATTTCAGTTCTTTCATCCATAAAACTTGGGAGCTAGAGGCCAACCAGTGGTGTCGTGGTTAAGGCAGCTGGCTCCTACATGGATGATTTTGGAGTTTGAGCCTTGGACTCAGCAGCTTGAAAACCACACCAAGTTCGTGTGTGTGTGTGTGTGTGTGTGTGTGTGTGTGTGTGCAAAATTCCAAGCAGAGCATGAAGAAGACACTGCAACATGGCCATTCTCCGCTGGGGATGCCTTCTCTCTCTCTCTCTCTCTCTCTCTCTCTCGCTCTCTCTCTCTCCGTGGTGAGGGGACATGCCCCATAGCAAAAACTAAAAATAAAACAAAGAAACACACACAAAATACTTGGGAGCTGGACTCAAGATCTTTACTAAAATTTCTAGATATTTACTCCATTGTTTTCACCTTTTCTCTTCCTATCCTGCACAACTCCCAACCTCCCCCCTCCCCGCCCCATCCCCAGTTTTGCTGGGTTCATCATCACGGGATTGGCAGGATGTTTTCCCCATCGAGTTATGACGCTGCATGTGTCTGCACATGGGCTTTTTTTTTGGCTTTTTTTTTTTTTTTTTTTTTTGAGAAAGCAGGGAGCTGGCTTACAGGCTGCTGTTATTGTTATTGTGAGAAAAGGAATCTGACTCTTCAATTTTACTTTTATCCTGGCTTGCAGCCATAACCACACTGAATGACACTAGCATTTGACAGGGCTTATGAAAGACTTCAGAGGCAGACCCTGTAGGGATCAGCTCCCTACCTTTGTGGGCTTTGTAGTTTCTGATCAAATCTGGTTTAGGAGACCTGTCCTCTTGGGGCTGTTTGCCACGCCTGATACCATGGTTGGTAAGGATCTTAGGAGAGAGACTTAAAAAAGAGGTTTCTGGGATTCCCATTCCATGTACAGGTTGGGTATTCTGGCAGATTTTCAGGTGGGAAATTTCCTAGGACATTTCATTATAGTTCTGTTGTAGTTGATATTTATAAATACTTTGTTGGGGTGATAGTCTATACATATTTTTGTAGCTTCTTTTGTGACTGTGACCCAAAGGTTAGAGGAAATCTGGATTCAAATGTTGGACTGATCACTTTCTAGCTTGGTGTCTCTTACCTGCTCGTCATGGCTTCTATTTGATCATTCTTTAGTTGGGAATCTTATTATAGAAAAATAGTCAGTTTGGGGGTCAGTAGGTGGCATGGAGGTTAAGGTGTCAGATTCCATCCACATGGCCTTCTGCATTGTTCTAGTTCCAGACCCTGTGGCTTGAAAATTATACCAGGCACATGTGTGCGCATGCCCAAAATCCTGAGAGAAGAAGAGATTGTAATGTGGCATCCCCCCCGGGGAGTGATTTCTCACTTTTTCTTTCTTTGTCTCTCTCCAACAAGTGCACATGTCCTATAGTAGAAGTTAAAAAAAAGAACAAGAACAAAAGCAAAAACAAAACAGAACAGTCAGTTTGTCACTTTCCTGAGATGTGTGAATTGTTTTCAGCCTGGAGTAAGCATGTGAAGAATGAGTCACTTCTCTTGGCTCAGATTTCATCTGTAAAAGAATTATGGTTCTACCTGTTCTACTCAACCAAAATGGCTATTGAATCAAATGAAGTATCGTAGGAAAATGTGTTTCTGAAAATTATAAATTCTATATAAACATTATTTTTAGGAATTTTTATATGCGAAGTCTTTATAAATGTCACAGAAAATGGCATATTATAAAAATGCTATGCATGAATATTTTTCTTGCACCAAAATAAACTTTTTTTTTCAGTTTCTCCATGAACTTTGTGAAGTACCCTTGTATAACAAAAGTGATTGTTTTAATCATCAAAAAAGCAAAAGCTATGAAATGTTTCTACTCTGATTTTTCTAGCATAAATTATTTACTGCAGATAATTACCTTTAGTAAAATTTCTTCAATTTTCTTTTTATTGTGTATGAATTGGAAGGCGATAAATTAAATTGTTCAAAATTTTCTGAGTATTATGAGTATTCAGTTAATAACAACTAATATTTTTCAAGTGAATAGTAACTATTTTGTGGAAGTACCTTAGTTTTGCATTATCTCAGATTTCATTAATTCATTATTAGATTAAAAACTAGATTCAAGTTGTTAAAATACATTAATAGCATAAACAAAATTATAAGTCAATTAAGCATCCTTCTGTATGCATCAAAAATAATTGTAACATTAATAAAGCCATAGAACTTTAGATACTAATTATAATTGACCTAGATCGAAAGTGTGTTTTCAGGCCAGCAGGTGGCAGAGTGGTTAAGGCGCTAGACTCCCACATGTGCGACCACAGTTCCAGTCCTGAATCTGCTGGCTTGAAAATAACTCCAGGTACATGTACCTATGTGCCCCAAGTCCCAGGAGGCCAATGGAGGAGAAAGGATTGAGGCATGGCCATGGGAGGGAGGGATTTTTCACTTTCCCTCTCACTGTCTGTCTCCAACAAATGCATTTGCCCTACAGCAAAGAGCCTTAAAAAGGGTTTCTATAACTCATATTTTCACTAACGCAAATATTCCCTCTATTCTTGCTCCTAATGAATGAGATGCCTCCATTTCTATTTTTCTGGATGGTGAACTATACTTGAAGATACCATCTGGAGATAACTGGGTTTCTGCCAAAGATTTAAATCAAGCTTGCAAAGAGTTACCTGCCTCGGGCAAGAAACTGCACTCATTGAATAGAAAAGAAACTGCTTTTATCTCACCATCTGGTAAAAGAAAGTTAAAGTAGTTGAGAAAGTTTTAATCTTTGTTTTTCAATGGTAAAACTATTTTACACATAATAGTATTTCTAAAATATAATAATTGGGGGAAGTCAGGAATCTAACTGCTAATATTTATGTGATTATAAGATTGTTTGATAATAAAGACTTATCCAGAGATCTCCATTACAGTATATATGGGTATTTCAATATAAAAGGTGGGGACAAGACAGAAGCAGAGAGAAGCAAGACAAGTTGGAGACCACTTCAGACTTTGTGGCCAGAGCTGAAGGCCCTAGACCTGCGTGGGTTGGGTATACAGGCACTCTTCACTTAATGACTGAGTTCCATTCCTATGACTACGTCTTTAAGCCAATTGGCTGATAAGCAAGAAGCTTAAAGATAGCTGTCTTGTGGTGTGTTGTGGCATTTTTCAGTAGATATCGTGTAACACCGCACTAGAATAATAGAATTTTTTTTTTAAGAATTTTCTTGGGGGAGAGGTTTTTACTATAGGGTGCATGCACTCGCCAGAAAGACAGAGAGAGACTGAGAGACAGAAAGTGAGAAATCACCCCCCAGAAGGGATGGCCACGCCACAGTCCCTTTTCCTCCATTCTCCTCTCAGGATCTTGGGCATGCACACACATGCACCCTGTGTGAGTTTAAGCCACCAGGTCTGGGACTCGAATGCAGTCAACTACATGGGAATTCAGTGACATAGCCATTACACTAACTGCTGGTCCCAGGAATTATTTTATTTAAATTATTTATTTATTTATATTTGATCAGAGAGGGACAGAGTGAGAGAGAGAGAGGGAAAGCAAGAAAGCAAGCTACCGGGCCTGGGACTTGAACCGCGGTCAGCCATGTGGGAGTCCAGCACCCTTAACCACCACTCCACCTGTCAGCCCCTCGAATAATATAATTCTATTCATGCAAAAAATGTACATTAGATGAACACCAGAAAGCAACAAGACTCACCACAACACAATACAATAATTCTAGCACAATCGTTTTTATTTAATTCTGAATCCTATGGGTGCACAGTAAAGTACAAGCTTATGAACAAAATATGTAGTCTTTTGTGATCATGAACACTTTGTTTAGTGAATACTAACTGACTACAGGAATGAGTCAGTGCCTGAGAAAGTGAATTCCAGAGATGCACAGAGTGAGAAAGGGGATTCCCCACACTGTAGAACTAGTCATGAATCTGAGTGATTGTTAAACAGGTAAGTCGTTAAGCTAGTGGCTGTAATGTGATAGTTATCATTTTTCATTTCTATTTTCCTTCAAACAGATTTATGGTTGGCCAATTAACCAAAGGCAAGAGGGGTTAATCTGTCTACATTCTGAGTACTGCCTTGGTAAGAACTCCATATCAGACCCAAGGCCCAAGTCCACCGTGTGCCCTACACCATTCCACCCCAGGCATTATTCTGGGGTCCACCTGAGGTCAGCAGTGTGAAGATGACCAGTGCCTTCCTAGCATGACGACTGTGGACCATGTGATTGCTACCCACCAGTCAGAGTGGGTCTCCTTCAACGAAGAGCCACTCTTTCAGGTCCCTCCAGAGGGTAAGGAATGGTTTCATTTCCTGAGGTAAAAGGATTGGCAAAGACCCATACATGCCTATTGTTATGGCTTCTACTTGATCATTCTTTGGATAGAATCTATCTTTTAAAAAATATATTTATTTTTTACATGAGAGAGAGAAGGAGAGAGGGAGAGAAACCCTTACCAGAGTCTTCATGCCATGGTCCACCCCCAGCCCCATTCAGTCCTGATCATAGGCATATGCTCAGGTACCCATCATGTGCAGGGAAACCTCAGTATATAAACCCAGGACTTTCCTATGTGGGTTCATCACAGAGCATTGAGTTACTCCTATGTCTCTGACGCTGGCCCTGGGTGAGATCCTAACATAGACAAAAGCACCAATTCATCACATTCCTAAGATGCCTGAGTCCTTCAACAAAAGCTTGGAGGAAGCAGCTTATAAACCTAGAGCCCTAAACTAGGACCTGAAAACACCAAAAGTATTGGCTCCTTACTCTAGACATTAACTTATTAATTACAAAGTACTTTCAACTTTTTGGATTGTTATTGCCACCTGCATTTTGGATTTTCTCATTATTTATTTTTAAAGAGTTATTGACTTAACTTTATTTATTATTATTTTAAAAATTTGTTATAGAGCATGTGCACTTGCCAGAGAGACAGAGAGTGAGAGACGGAGAGTGAAAAACAAGCTACTAGATCTAGAACTCGAACCACAGTTGGTCATGTGGGAGTTCAGTGCCTTAACCACCATGCCATCTGCTGACCCTCCAGGTTTTCTCAAATTTTTTTTTAGAGAGAGATTTTTGTTACATGGCACATTTGCTCACCAGAGACACAGAGAGAGACAGAAAGCAAGAAATTACCCTCCGGAGGGGGATGACCATGCCACAATCCCTTCTCCTCCATTCTCCTCTATTCTTCCCTTAGAATTTTGGGTATGCATGCACATGTGACTGGTATGAGTTTGAAGCTGCTGGGTCTGGGACCTGAACTGCAGTTGACTACCTGGGAGTCCAGTGACATAACCATTACACCATCTACTAGTCCCCTGATTTTCTTAGTTTTTAAAGTGTAGTTGTTGAGAATGACAGGCCAGATTGCTTGAGCTCAATTCCTGGCTTCATCACAGATGAATGTGTGCCGTTGGATATGTTATTCATTTAGCCTTTCTATGTGTAGTTTCATTATCTATACAGTAGGGATAATCACACTGCATGGATTGTTGGGTAGATTAAGCTTATTAACATATGTAAGTACTTAGAACAGTGCCTGGCACTTGGACAGAGTTCGGTATTGTCATTCCCAATCATAAAGATGACTGTAGTGACTTTCAGGGAACTTGCTTTGAGGATGAAGGTCAAGGTAAGATCTGGGAGATATTTGCAGAGCCATGTCAATCTCTTTTGTTCCACTGCAGCTGCCAGTTCCAACTGAAATTGTCCCACCTTCATTTATAGCACCTGGAAAGTCCATCTACAGGTGTGATGTTCGATATGATAGGCATGTGGCTATTAAATCCCTGAAGCATGTAGTGGCAAGTCTGAATTGGGATGTGCTATAATTGTAAGATCCTTATACTAAATTTTGAAGACCTAGTTAAGAAAAAAAGTTAAATAGCTCATTAATAATTTTTATATTAATTACAAGTTGAAATTGGAAGTTATCAACATGTAATTAAAATGTGGTTTGAAATATATGTTATTAAACATAGTTTCTTGGACCAGCCCTATTGTCTAAAGGTTAAGGGAGCTGGATCCCTTGGGGCCAGCAGGTTAGGTATGGTGTTTAGGGTGCTGGATTCCCACATGGCTAGACCATGGTTTGAGTCCTGGATCTGGTGGCTTGCTTTCTCATCTCTCTCTCTATCTTTCTCTGTCTATCATTTTTCTCTCTCTCCGTCTCTCTCAAGTGAATGCACATGCCCTTGAGCAAATTAAAAATAATAATGATAAATAAAATTAATTTTTTTTAAAAGAAACAAACAGTGGGAGCTGGAGACCACATGGCCTACTGCAGTACAAATCCTGGCTTTCTTGCCTTAAAAACATGCCAGCACATGTGGATGTGTGCCCCAAATCCCATGAGGATGAAGAAATGGAGACGGGGTTGCAGTGGGGCTGCATCCCACTGAAGGGTGCTTTTTCCCTTTTTCAGTCACTATCTCTGACAAGTGAACGGACCACGTGGCAATGTAAAAGAATAATTTCACCTGTCTCTTTTTACCTTTTTTTTTTTATCTTTTTTTTGGAGAGGTTTTCGCTATAGGGCACGTGCCCTCGCCAGATAGACAGAGACATACAGACAGAAAGCGAGAAATCACCCCCCAGGGGGGATGGTCATGCCGCAATCCCTTCTCCTCCATTCTCCTCTTGGGATCTTGGGCATGCACGCTCACAAGCCCGGCGTGAGTTTAAGCCACTGGGTCCGGGACGTGAACCGCGGTCGACTACGTGGGAGTCCAGCGACATAGCCATTACGCCAACTGCTGTTTCCCTCTTTTTACCTTTTTAAATTTGGCTACCAGAACATTTAAAATTACATTCATGACTCACCTTTTATTTCTATTGGACAGTGCTAATTGAAGAGCTTTGATTATATGCAGAAGGACGATTTTGGCTAGTTATAGGGAAAAAAAAATTCTATTAGTTTGCTGGTTGGTTTTTAAAGTTCTTCAATAAAATTGACTTTTTTGGTGTGATAAATTTCAGCATCTGTATAGATTTTGTATCACCACCATAATCACAATATGATTAATTTGTTTTCAAAAAAAGATTTTTAAAGACTGTTCCATGTCCCAGGACCAATAAAATATCATACAATTTTAGGAAGAGCTTCTGTTTCACATTCACCTGATTATTCATGCAAGGTTTTCACCTCATGGTCTGTAGACCTGTTTAGGTTGGACTACAAAGAGTTTGAATTTTGAATTTGAAAGACTTTAGTCTAGATAGACAATCCCTTGTTCAGCCAGTCTCCCCTGGTCCCTACTGCCTTTTGCTTGTCCCACTCTACTCAGGTATATTTCTTGCTTGACCTCTGTAAGCTTTTTTGTTTGTGACCCCTAAGCACTGGAGTAGGTGCTGGCATAAGAATAGTGAAGAAGACTCCCAGTCTCAGCCTGCCTGGATACTCCCAGGGTTAGACATTATTAATAAGAAAACAATTGAGCATAAAGGTAGATGGGCATAGCTATGTCATGAGGAATCCTACATAATGGCAAAGTTACCCTTTGCCAATCCTTCATGTTTGTCTCCAAGAGACAGCTCTGTAGAGGAGCCTTCCTCACATGGTGGTGGTGTCTGGTATCTGTTGTAGGTGGCACTGAAGAGCACCTCCCAGGACTCTCCTCTTCTCCGGAACAATCTGAGAGCTCCTCCGGGGAGAACCATGTGGTGGATGGAGGTTCCCAGGACCTGTCCCACTCGGAGCAGGATGACTCCTCTGAGAAGATGGGCCTCATCTCTGAAGCACCCTCCCCTGTGCAGCCTCCCCCCGACCTAGCCTCGGCCATCAGCAACTGGGTTCAGTTTGAAGATGATAACCCCTGGACCAGCACATCACCACCTCCTAAAGAGACAGGTGGGAGAGCAGGGAGGCCAGGAAAGGTTCTGGCTTGGGTCTGCCCTCAGTGGGGGTGGTTTTCCATAATGGAACCCTAGAGGTGCTGGATTCTAGTTTACTGTGCCAGAGTCCTAATGTACTGGCACATTCGAGAGAGCAGAGTTCTCATCCACCTTAATTCTGTTACTGGTTTTGTTAACATAAGCCTATGAAAGGATGTGTGTGTTTTGAGCCATTTCCTGGATTTTGCCCTTGTTCCTGGCTGTTGATCTGTTTGGGGGAAATGTTTGTATGTTTATCAGTTAGGGATTAGAACTCTATTTACTCAGCACCCAAATTATAAGCTCCTCATGCATAGGAATGAATGTCTCTTAAAGCGTGGACCACCAACCATCTCCACCAGCATCACCAAGAATGGGACTTGTCAAACACGGAGGTTCTTACACCTCAGGCTTCATGAATCCAAAGCTTCAGGGGTAAGGATAGCCAGAAGTTGTGCTTAGGAGCTTGGTGAAGCCATAAGAGTAGTTAGTCCTCACCCTGACAACCTGGCTACTTACTTTTTGTGTGGACTGAAGCATATCAAGGGTGACTGGATAATCTTGGGAATGGTACTAGTTCCCTCTTTGCTGCTATGATGAATTACTACAAACCTTGTAGCTTAAACAGCACGACTCTGTCCTCTTACAATTCTGTATTGCAGATCTCTGGTCTGTGTGTCCGAGGGCCAAAGTCACGGTGTTGGCAGAGCGATTAGATATGAAGGAGAAAATCTGTTTCCAGGCTCATTCCAGCTTCCAGAGGCACTCACATTCCTTGGCGCTTGGCCCCCTCTCCTGTCCCCAGGACCAAAAATCTCACATCTCTCTGTACCTTCTGAAGTCACAGCTTTCTCTGACTTCTCCACCCTCCCTCTTTTATTAAGGACTCTAATAATTATATTGGTCCCATCACGAAAATTTTCCCATCTTTTCCCCTCTCAGGGTATTTTTTAGAATTATTTATTTAATTTTATTCATCATCATCATTATTATTTAATTTGACCAAAAAGAGACACAGAGAAAGAGAGAGAGAGAGAGAGAGAGAGAGAGAGAGAAAGAATGAAATTGAGAAAGCAAGCTGCCAGGTCTGGGACTCAAACCATTGTTGACCAAGTAGGAGTCCAGTGCCTAAATCACCACACCGCCTGCTGGCCCTTGTCTCAGAGTTTTTAACATAATCCCATCTGCAAAGTCCATTTGCCATATAAAGGAATATGTTCACAGGTTCTGGGGATTAGAGTATGGACATCTGGGAGGTGAGGGGTGTTACTCTGTCTACCCCAGAGACCTACTGGCAAAAAGCAGGGCTGGTACTTTTTCTGTTAGTGGGTTAAATGTTTTGCTAGTTTCAGTTTCTAATAATAATCTTTGTTTTTTCAGATGTGTTTTCAACACACCAGTAAAAATGATTTAAAAGAAATATAAAACATAATATGATCATAAAATAAATATTTTTATTTTGCATAATAATGTGCTCATTTATGCATGCTTTCTTATACTGAAGCATCAAATTTCCCAGTGGATTGTTGATGAGAGAGCCATGGCACTCAGAGTAGCACGAAACAAGTGGCAGGTCCAGGCAAATTTCCTGTAACCCTCCCTGAACACCTAACACTGGCAGGACACAGAGCTATGCACTTATACACAGGGCCATGAAGCAGTACAGCAATATGTTATTTTTAATAAGATAAATTTACTTACAACAATCATATAAGGAAGATATTAATATTATATCCCTATCACCCAAGACTGAGACACATAGTGACTTGGGAATTTGCCCAAAGTTATGTGCTAGGAAGTGGCAGGAGAGAGCTTCAGCACCAGGCGGGCTGGCCCCAGGTCCCTGGAGCAGTCTAGCAACGCTCTGTGCTCTTTTCTCACTCTGCTGCTGCCACCATGCTCTGGTGTCCTTTACTCCTTAGTTACATGGAAGGCAAGGGAGGTGGGAAATGGGTAGGGTAGCCATGCCTTCAGGTCATTGGTTATATTCCTGGCATTTAGATTCTCTCACATTGTGTTCATACCTTGATGTTTAGCTCCATGATTTATTTTTTTAGAGTTTTTTTGCTAAAGGGTGCGTGCGTTTGCTGGAGAGATAGAGACAGAAAGTGAGAAATCACCCCCTGGGGGAATGGCCACTCTGCAATCCCTTCTCCTCCCTTCTCTTCTCTGGATTTTGGGCACACATACACATGCACCCTGTGCAAGTTTTAAGCTACCAGATCTGGGACTTGAGCCACAGTAGACTACATGAGAGTCCAGAGATGTAATTATTACGCCAACTGCTAGTCCATGATTTCTTTTTTTAAAAAAATTTATTTTAATTTACATTTAATCATTGTATAGTTTTACAGCCTATGATATAGGTTCTCAAAGCATAAATACATTTCATGTAAAACAAGTCAAAGGTATTACTCTACACAATAACTTTCCATTCTTGTGTCTGTTAAATGGTCTTTTTTTTTCCTCCCCTGAGTCTCTCCTTCCTACCTCCAACTGTCCACCCTCTCCTATATAGTCTTTGGTATCTGTATTTGCTATCTCTACTATTATATTTTCTAATCTTTGAATTTTGGCCATAAAGTGTAGACATTTGGTACACGTTGAGTGGGGATATACAAAGTCTGTCTTTCATAGTCTGGCTTGCTTCATTTAGCAGGAAATCTTCTGTATTCAGCTACTTCGTATCAAATGACAGAATCTTATTGCTTTTTAGGGCCAAATAGTATTTCATAGTATATATGTGCCACATTTCTTCCATTCAGTCATCTGTTCTTAAGCACTTGGGTTGATTCCCTGTCTTAGCAATTGCAAATAGTGCTGCAGAAACATGGATGTGCAAATGTCCTTCCAACTGAGTGTTTTCCTATCCTTTGGATAAATAGCCAGGAGTGGCATTTCTGGGTCATATGGTGGTCTTTGAGGAACCTCCATATTGTTCTCCACAGTGGTTGGACTAATTTACTTTCCCACCTACAGCGTAGGAAGGTTCTCCTTTAAACCACAGCTTTGCCAGCACTTGTTGGTCTTTATTTTTTTTATCATAGCCATTGTGACTGGTATTAAATAGTACCTCATTGTGATTTTGATATGCATTTCTCTTATGATAAGAGACATTGGACATTTTTTTCATATGCCTTTTGGCCGTTCATATGACTAGCAAAGCTGTCTGTTTGGCTCATTTGCCTACTTTTTAATTGGATTGTTTGTGTTTTTGCAGGTAAACTTTTTGAGTTCCTTTTATATTTTGGTTATCAGTCCCTTATCTGAAGTATAGCCTGTAATTATTCTCTCCCATTCTGTATCAAATATTTCTTGATGATTGCTGATAACTATTTAGATGACAGATGAGTTCACTTGCTTCAATTCCTCACTTACTTTGACAGAGCAATTTTGGGGTTAGTCATAGCTATGTTGCCCTCATCAGACTGAGGATCGTACCTTGTTATTGACGGTTATTTTGATATATCATTAAAGCTTTATCTTTTAAGGCAAAAGTTCTCAAATTGTGGTCTGTAGTACACTGGGGTTGCCCAAGATGCTTTCAAAGGGTTTTGGGGGTTAAAATTACTTTTCTAACAATTATAAGATGGCATTTGCCTGCATTGACATTTGCACTGATGGTGCAGAAGTAATGGTGGGTAAACTTCCAGCCATTGTTTACTCAGAGTGAATAAAAGGTCAGTTTCATTTAACAAGACCTTGATGAGGCAGTGAAAATATTGATTTTTTTAAAAAAATATTGGTTCTTGAATACATCTTTTCTTTTTAAGGTTTATTGTTGTTGTTCTTTTTGTCATAGGACACGTGCACTTGTTGGAGAGAGACAGAGAGAGAAAATGAAAGGGAAAATGAGAAATCATTCCCCCAAGGGAGAATGGCCACAGCAAGAAGGATAGCCATGTTGTAATCCCGTCTCCTTTCTCCTCTAGGGATTATGGACATACATGCACATGCACCCGGCCTGATTTTCAAGCCACTGTTGGCCATGGGCGAGTCCATGCCTTAACCGCCATGCCACCTGCTGGCCCCCCAAATACCATTTTTTTTTTTTTTTGGAGGAGAGGTTTTTCTTATAATGCATGTGCACTTGCTGGAGAGACATAGAGTCAGAAAGCGAGAAATCACCCCCTAGTGGGGAAGTCCACACTGCAATCCCTTCTCTTCCAATATCCTTTAGGGATTTTGGGCACACTTGCAAACATGCCCAGTGTGAGTTTTTAAGCTGTTGGATCCAGAACTCAAACTGCAACCAACCATTCGGGAGTCCAGCAACATAACCATTATGCCCTCTGTTGGTCCCATGAATACATCTTTTAAATAGCCTCTATGACAGATTGAGAAATAAGTGTCAAAGTTTTTTTTAAAGAATTATTTTATTTAACTTTATTTATTATTATTAAATTTGACCATAGAGAAAGAGAGAGAGGAAAAGTTAGAAAGCCACCAAGTCCAGGGCCCGAACTGCAGTTGACCATGCGGGGAGTCCAGCGCCTTTAACCACTACGGCACCTGCTGGCCCCAAGCATAAAAGTTTTTTTAAGTTTATTTCTTCTATGAGAGACGGGAGGGGAGGGAAAAAGAAAGGAACATTTTAATAGGGTATTCACACAGTTGTCTACCCCTACCTCTGTTAGCAAGGAATACCTTAATAGGGTATTCACACAGTTGTCTACCCCTACCTCTGTTAGCACACATGCATGTGCATGTGTGCCTGGCATGCACAGGGCAACGTTAGGTTGTGAGGCTGGACCTTCCCATAGGCTTCAGCATCGTGGAGCATTGTGTCACGGCTCTACCACCTGGGCACCTCTGAGGCTCACCTGCATGAAGCATGTCTACCTATTCTAAATGTCGTGGTAGTCTTGAAAAATGACTGTGTTATTTTTCCTATTCTCTATTTTTCTTTCTTTCTTTTATTTTAGTTTGCTACAGGGCACATGCCCTTGCCAGAGAGAGATTGAGAGAGAGAGAGAG